CTGAATTCTTCTGATTCATTTGGCTGCAACATTCTTATTTCTCCAGCCTTCCTAGATCCATGTTTAACTGCTTCAGTGACAAGTATGCTTTGTGTTCGATCTCAACGGGTAGGTGGCATACTTTCCCAAAGACTATTTGGTATTGTGACATTCCAATGGGCGTCTTCAACGCGATGCGACAGGCCCACAAGGCATCTTCCAATTTTTTGGACCAATCTTTTCGAGATGAATTCACAGTGAGTTCTACAATTATTTCAGCTGTCGATTAGAAGTTTCAACATGTCCACTTGTTTGAGGATGATATGGTGTTGCTATTCGATGTTGTATCCCGTATTTATGTAGCACTGCCTGAAATAATCGATTGCGAAAATGAGTTCCACCATCAATTATAATGGCCCTAGTGATCCATAGCGGTTAAAGATTTGTTTCTTTATGAAGTATACCACTACACTTGCATCATTTGTAGGCAATGCTTTGGCTTCCACCCATTTAGAGACGTAGTTTGCTGCCACTAGAATGTATCGACTATTGTAAGATGATGGAAAAAGACCCATAAAATTAACTCCCTAGATATCAAATATTTCCACCTCCAGAATGTTGTTAAATGGCATCTCATGACGAGCTGATATGTTACCTGTTCTCTGACACTTATCGCATGATCTACAGAAACTATGGCAGTCCTTGAATAATGTAAGCCAAAAGAAACCACAATGAAGTATCTTTGCTGTTGTTTTAGTAGGGCCAAAATGTTCTCCATGAACCGAAACATGACCCCTAGAAAGGATCGATTTCATTTCATCCTCTAATCTGGTATATCCCTCTCCTATATAAATTTGGATCATCCCAATAATAGAATTTCGCTTCATAAAACAACTTTTTCTTCTGCTAATAGGTGAGATCTGGATCCATATAACCACTAGCTAAGTAATTAACAATGTCTGCATACCACGGGGCCTTTTCTACATGCAATAACTGTTCATCTGAGAAAACCTCATTGATATCC